GGATCAATTTACATTGTGTTTAAATGTGGTTTATAAATAAATGTTGTTGTTATAATTCAGTATACATCTGGCAATTCTGACTTTCTCAGAATTCTGAGTTTGCATCTGGCAATTCTGACTTTTTTTCTTGGAATTATGAATTTACATCTCACAATTCTGACTTTTTTCTTGGAATTATGAATTTACATCTCACAATGACTTCTTGCACATGCAGAATTCATAGGAAAAAAGTCAGGAATGTGCCATGTAAACTCACAATATTAGCAAGATATAAGCTTACAATTCTGAGACAATTTCTGAATTGTGAGATATAAATTGCCTTTTAACTTTTTTATATTTTTATTCTTTGGCAAAAAAATAAGGTTCCATAGATAGCAGACATCAAATAATTACATTTACTATTTCCTGGGATTAGAAACAGAACAAAAAATGAGACTTTTTTTGCAGAACATAAAAGAAAATTGTTGCAACAATTGTTGTGAATGTTACTAGCTAATAGCATTATTATTTTGTTCCTACAATTTTTAATTCAAAGAACATAGCAGATTTATTAAAACTTAAACTAAAATTCCAATTAGTTCTAGATGTTATTTTTGCGGTCTTATATGCATGCATGTTTGCTGTACGTCCTACCCAAGAGCTGCATGTCCCTGAATCTCAATAACATCCAGCGAGTTGAAGTAGGTCACAAACAGATAGGGTTCTCTGAATGCTGGAAGCAGAAGATGCTTCAGTTAGTGATCCTGAAGATCCTCATCACTATATTTTACACATTTCGGTTTGTTACAAATGGAAAACTGGCTACCAAATGTCAGGGGAAGTCGACTCCACTTGAGATCATCAGGGCGACTTTTTTGACCGTAAGCATCCACAAACACACCAATCTCTGTTATCAGAAATCAGACATTTAAAGAAGAACAATGTAGAAAATCAATACAATTTAAGTGATTTGCACAACACAGAATTTCTGGGGGGGAAAAGCACAGAGCACTGTTAATGTAAATAAATTAATAAATTAAGTTTTAACCACTTAAACAGAGTCAGGAATATTTAAATTGAGAAAAAAAATGGAATCTAGAAAAATTCAAATGGAAAAAAATTAATTTGAAAAAAAAAAATGACTGGGGAAAAAAACCTAAAAGAAACAAATTTCGTAGGACTGCATTGTCTGCATATGCCTACAATTTTAATAGCGTATGCAGTTAGTAACAAAGAATACTGAAAAATGTTACATAGTACTGCATTGTCATCGTATGAAATGTTTAATTCAGCAGCTGACGGCATCCAGTGAAGAGAAATTAAATATAACCAGTTTTATAAATAGGGTTTTATAACTGAAATAGACAGTTATTTGGCATATTTAATCAGAGATTTAAAAAAAAAATTTAACTTTTGGCAAATCCAATACATAGACTTTTTTGTTCATTTGTCAGATTGAAAACGGAAAGTGAAGTAAAGTGTTGCAATGTGATCAAATGGAGTATTTAAACATAGCCATAGAATATTGTCTTTTACACTTGTACAAAAAAATTGCATTTGGTACAACATGACTGTGAGTACGTAATGATTTTGTATGAACTGTTGCTCATGCAACTAATATTCTCATGCAACAGGAACTTGCTGTAGTTTAGATGGTGTGATGGGTGTCTGACCGTGGAAGCAGAGCAGATATACTGGGCTGTTACTATGGTACAGTGATGGTATTATGCAAGAAGGTATCTTGGGAGGAGTGAGGTGTCCAAGTCACAACATCTAACTACTGGGGCGCCTCAGGGCTCAGTTCTTGGACCACTTCTCTTCTCTATCTACAGGACATCATTAGGCTTCGGCATTCAGAAACATGGCTTTTCATATCACTGCTATTCTGATGACACTCGACTCTACCTCTCCTTCCATCCTGATGTGATGATGATAGCTGCTCGCATCTCAGCATGTCCATCACCTTCAAATCAACCTTGCCAAGACAGAACTGCTTATGGTTTCAGCCAGCCCATGACTTCATCACAATTTCTCCATCCAACTAGGCGCATCAACCATAACACCTTCCAGGACAGCCAGGAACCTTGGAGTTGGACCCTCTAACACTAGCGTTCACTATTCTTTTTCTATTCTATCTACTTATTTATTAAAAAAAAAAAAAACCTTGCTACATGTACTGCGTTAGACCAACCAGGACTTGCCACAGCACTTATATATTGTTGCTCTTTTGTTGGTTTGATTGCTTCTATTGTCCTCATTTGTAAGTAACTTTGGATAAAAGTGTCTGCGAAATATCATGGTATTTTGATCTAATGATTAGCATATTAACGTACCAAGGTATTTGCATAGTTATTTGTGTTACAAGCGCCATGCTCTACTGTTTGAGCTATGGGAATACTTTAAAGAATAAAATAGTATTATCATGGTACTTAGTACACAAATGCATGATCTAAAAAAACAACAACAAAAAAACAGTATACCATGTAGGGATATGCCGGTATCAAATTTTCATGTTGTGATTAATTGCTAATGTTTTTATCACGGTATACGGTATTATCACGATATTGAAATTTAGTTTTAAAAAAGTGTTGTCATAATACAATATAACAGGTTTAATAACTTTTTCTTATAACAAATATAGCTGCACTTTTAAATACAATAAAGCAATACAGAAAAAATGTATAAAGTAAAAAATTCTACACTGATTAAAGTGCAAAAGAATTATAAAGACCAATAGGTATCACTTCACAATACAATTTCACATTAGCTCATTAAATAACACAGTTGCAACTTTTGATTTTAACGTGTTATTAAATATTGGAATTACCTAAGATTAATGAATGTTTAGAAGAATTTTTGTTTAGAAGAATTTTTAATTGGCAGTTTATGTTAACTAATGAATTAACTAATGTTAAATAATGAAGCCCTAATGTAAAGTGTGACCGAACAGTAAACAATCAAAACACTTTCAAACAATAGGCTATCTAGGGCATGTTGTAGTCCAGATTAAAATGTAAACATTATTGAAAATAAATAGCCTATTAAGTCTAAATATTTAAGTATTTGGCACTGTGATGAACACCATAGCTAATACAAAAATCTGAATGGCTGTTTAAATCATTTAAATACATTTCAGGAACAGAAAGTAGCACTTTGTTTACGGGTTTCCAGGGTAATGGCTGCATTTCTGCTGTTCAGCGCCATCTGCTGTCAGAGAGTGAATGTGCTTTCATCCAGAGCGTCTCACGTGTTCCGCCATGCGCTTCTCGTCCGGGCTTGTTTACATCAGAGTGCGCACGCGTGTTTGATGCAGCATACAGCGTTGTGCATTGTGACCAGTTGATGGGAAAAGTATTCTTAAAATGCATTCAAAATTTGGAATAATTTGTAATAAATAATTATTCTCTGTATTTTGAAGTGCCCACGATAACAATATCGTGCATATTCATTACAGTGATATATCGCATTACCGAATACCGGCCCATGTCTAATACCATGCTAATTTTCTTTTGACCTGTTGCAAAATCCGTTCAGTTTTGGTTTCTGAAACGGAGCAGTAAATGATAGTGATCTTTGCTCACCCACGATCATCAGCAGCTTGTCGTGCTCCTTGATGATATGGATCTGAAACACGGATCCCATACCCGGGATGTGAGTGAGGGAGTTCTTAATCACATTCAGGGCATAGAGCCCTTCCTCAGAGCCCACCAACACAATCTGAAGACAAAAACAAGATGACGGTATATTAAACTATAACAAATATAGACTGAAAATAATGAAATAAATCTTGAAAATTCAAAGAGATTGAGATATTAGTGGATGACGCAGGTACCTGGTCAGTCAGCGGGAGGGTGCAGTTGATATCCAGGCGATCATCTCCTTCTAGCTTGAGTAAGGAGTTACCCAACAATTTCTGTACAGAACCACAAACACCATCATGAGGATGTGAACAGTATGTTTAAAAAGTGCATTTTTCATTTGATGCACTTCGCAGAGCTTTTAGGATTATCAGTATGTTTCCCTGCGTCCCACTGTACTGGTAAGAAGAAACAAACCTACAGTTTCTGCCTTACATGTCACTGCACTGACTCTTTAAATGTCACTATGAACAGTCTGTGGGTGTTTCTGGTTTCTCTCACTCACAGCGTCTGCTTCGGCTTTCTCTCTCGCCCCACGACTGCTGGCCACAATGGCTTCCAGCACGGCCACCCAGCGCTGCTTCTCAGAAAACCCTGAGGTCATGAGGTACAGAGTCTGACCGGGCCAGCATGTCGACTGCGGAGACGACTCCAACTTCAGCACATACGGCACATCTGAACACATGCAAGTATGTTAGGAGACAGAAAACATGTTACATCTGGACAAAAAAGTAAAAAAATCTCTATTTAAAAAAAAAAAAAAAAAATATATATATATATATATATATATATATTATAAATATATATATTATAGCAGTTTTTTATATATTAAAAAACTGCTAGATTTTAATAACTTGTAATCACTTAGCCTGAGAAGGAATAAAAAAAAAATTAAAAAAAATCTATTTCCATTTTCCATTATTTGGAAATTGAATTTTTTTCCTATTAAATTCTATTTAGAAACTCATCACACATAGTTAATATAGGGTTGCAAAGGGGCAGAAAATGTAAAAAAAATTCTAAAATGTTCCAATTCTGTAAAGTTTCCAGAAATTTTTGGAAACTTTATGCCTTTTTGCATCCCTAAAGTCATTTGTTTCCTGAAAAAATTTAATCTTGCAATGGAAGAAAGCACATTTCACTTGTGTAAATGATGTATAATATGTAAAAACAACTTAATTTAGCTTCAGGTTTTACAGGGTTGACAGGAAATAATAAAAAAGAAAGCGACTAAAGGAATCATTTATTTACTAAACAAATTAAACCAAACAATTATGATTCCCTTTTTCACAACATAAAATGTTAACCTGTACTTGTTACTTAAGCTATTTCTACTTAGTTTAACCCCCCAAAAATTGTTTTGAATTAAATTTAATTAGGCTGATTCAGTGATGTTACATTAATATACTTTTTATTTTTTAATAATACTTTTGACTTGAAAAAAAATGTTAAAGGGGTCATATGATGCGATTTAAATTTTTCCTTTCTCTTTGGAGTGTTACAAGCTCTTGGTGCATAAAGAAGATCTGTAAAGTTGCAAAGACTAAAGTCTCAAATCCAAAGAGATATTCTTTATAAAAGTTAAGTCAACCACGCCTACCTAAAATGGCTCGTTCTAACACGCCCCCACATGTCTACGTCATGATGTGGGAAGATTTGCATAACGCCGCCCAAATGTTCACACAAAGAAAGAAGGCGTAACTTTTATTCTCGCTGTAGTATTGTTGTTGCCGCCGCCGCCATGTCGTGAAGGCGCTATGTGTTTCGTTGTGAAAGCAAAACTACTTTGGTTGGCCTTCCAAATGAGGACGATATCCGCTTCGTAATGACTGGAGCTTATCCGTGCTGGTCTTCACGCTGTCAATCGCCGGATCGGCTTTCACCGTGGACGAAGCGGAGTCCAGCCCGGG